GATGTGAATATTTTAATGTAATGTTTTAATACAATTATATATGTATGTAAGAGGTAAATATTGTCTTTTCTAATGGACGCGGGCGCGGCGCGCTGTCTACGTACATCATAAATATAGTATTATAGTGAGGCGCGTATGATCTTATTACATATGGTTAAGTTTTGCTCTTAATCCATTCAATCTACGAAAAAATTGTATAGAACCATATCGATTTGAAATTTTATTAGCTACATTTTTGTATAGAAGTACTTTTGAGATAAATTTAGTATTTTCAAAGATAATTTAATAAACGTGAAAAATTGCACTTAAAATCCAAGATGGCGGACACTTCCGGACCTATGAGGGATGGCGAATTTTTTTAGGTAAATCAGGAGCCTATAACCTAACTTTTTGCAAAGTTTCAAAACTTTCCGATTTAATTCCACCAAAAATCGTTTAATGACTGGACTACTCCACGTGCACGTGTTGTTATCTCGCGTATCCCGTTGTCTATGGCCTTGAGACTAGACTGTCGTAACACATTCATCCCATCCCACTCACTCCACGACGTTAACACTATTTTCCTGTATAATTTTTTGTTTTCGTACTCGTACATGCGGGCGTATCATCAATATTATATGTATATATAACATAATACATATATATAATAACTTAAAAGTTAAAAATTAATTTTAACTTTTTCGTTCGATATTCTTTAAAAGCGTGTTTCTCAGTTTTTTTAACTATATTTATTTTATTATTATTTCAATAATTCAATAAGAAAAGAATTACATTCAAAAAATTCTTCATGAAATTTTGTAGCACTATATTATATTAGTTAAAAATAGTAATTTTTTTTTGTTAAAATTTAAATAATTTAATAATAACAAATGTATGAATTCAGTTCAATTTAATTTTTATTTATTTTAATTTGTTATTATTGGCAAGATACTGAGTTTCATTATAATTTTCAATACTATCAATTTTTTTTTCTAAATTATGATAAATTTAATGAATCTTACTTTATTTGGTCTAGCTAAATAATATTTTTTTAAATAAATAAATTTTCTTTCATATTATTAGCAAAAATAAAGTTTTATTATTTAAAGTTTAGTATATTTTAGCTATGATGCAAAGCTGAGAAGGTATTAATTTTACTATTATTTAACTTTATTAACTTTTTTACAAAAACTAACTTTTTCAACTCAATTTTTGAAAATGTTCCGGAAATACTGCGTCCTTTAAACATATGTCAAATTAAAGCTTATGTCATGTACTATAAAATAAAAAAAAAAATTTGTCTCGACGGTCTATCTTCTATGCGCAAATGGCTACCGTATTCAATAATATGCTATTTTTGTGTTAATACTTGGTTTTGTATTTTATTTTATTTTAAAATATCTTATAAGGGCAATACACTGCCCTATTTTTTATAATTATTATACTTATAATAGGCTAAATTGAATAACTTTTTTTTTATTGGTTTTTTTAGATATATAATCATTAAAATTAATTAAATTCTGAATATTTCCATTGTAGAATCTTTTTAAACGCCAAAAGTTAATTAGAAATGATTACTATGATTTTTATTTAAGTGATCTATTACGATAAAAATGTAAAAAAATCTAACTTTTCTGATAAATATACTGTAAATAGTAATTATAAAATTTGCTGACAGCATATTTATTTTAACAATTTCATTTTTATCTATTTAATAATGTCAATTTCAAACTTGCAAATTGAGCTACTTGTTATGGTAATAAATTCATTTTTTGTTAAATAAAACTTTCACTTTAAAGGACAATAAAAAGTAGGTTCAAAATTATTACTTTTAACATATTAAAAATCAAAATCAATAATAATTTGAAAACAATTAATTTAAAAAATTATATAATATATAATTAAAAGAAATACTAATCTGTGTATTACTAAGGAAATAGCAGATCATGTAGCTTTTGGAATAATCCACTAATTTTTTAAAATTAAATACTATCTACAGATTTGCGTCGAAGCGTTTCTTATGATAGTGATTTTAATCACTGTCAGATATCATTATACTTGATCCAAGTATGCCACGTCACCACTAAACCGCGACTTTTTTAATATGCATCTAGTGGCTGTACAATTTTAATACGTTCATTTTAAATATTGAAGCTTTTCTGCCATATCACACTTTTATTAAATTATAATATAAATATTTACAGTACACTGTTCTTTTAATATTATTTTAATTACAAAAAAAAAAAAATTTAGTTTACAAGCAATGACCATATGGAAGTTTTGACAGTTTTGAGATTTAATACAGCATTCAATATTCTGCATGATTGCTTACACAAATATGACTGTTCGAAAATTTCTAAGGAAGATCTTTTGTGGGGTAATTAAACTAAACACTATCTATACAATTAAATGAATTAACTAACATTTTTAATATGCTTAGGATTTTTTAACAGAGACCCAAATTCACGAAACGATGAGCCAGATTTAAAATCATCAACTCATCAAATACTAGAAGTTGTTGTTCGTAATAATTCACCAGATTATTTTGTTGATACTATAAAGCGTTATATATATGGGCCTAATTGCAAACAACCATTCGCGGGATATTGTGCTGCTGCTTACTACACGTATTTGATTACTGAAAGTCCCAATTTAAATAATATATTCAATGAAATTAGACAATTAAAGTCATGAAATAAAAATTTTGTTTTTGTTTTTAAGTTATAAGTATTTAAATAACAATATTTTGTTCTATTTCTCGATTTTATATTATACATTTTTTACTTTAAAATGCTATAATTTTTTGAAAAATATATGAATCAATACAATTTTTTATGAGAAATAATATTTATTAATAATCCCTTTTTCATTTGACATACTTTATTTTAATCAGGATATTAATAAGGAACTAGCAGATCATGTAGCTTTTGGAATAATAAATCAATATTTTAAAATTTATTGCTATCTAAAGATTTGCATCGAAGGGTTTTTTTTATAGTGATTTTAATCACTGTCAGATATCATTATACTTGATCCAACTATGCCACGTCACCACTGTGCCGCACCCCCCTGTGCTGGGTTTATTTTTATTTTTTTGTTAAAATTTAAATAATTTAATAATAACTTATGTATAAATCCACTTCAGTTTAATTTTTATTCATTTCAACTTGTTACTATTGCCAAGATACTCATTTCTATTATAATTTTCATCACTATTAATTTTTTTTCTAAATTATGATATAAAATGATGAAAACATTAATTATCTTATCAACTACTAGATGGAGTAGTTTTTTGTAATACTTCAGCAAAATATTTTGTTAGAACTCTAAAGTAGTACATAAATGACCTAAATGCAAAAAACCTTTCGTAAAATATTGTACTGCTGCTTACTATACGTATTTGATTACTGAATGCCCCAATTAAAATAATATATCCAAAGAAATTAGACAATTAAAGTCATGAAATAAAAATTTTGTTTTTGTTTTTACGTTATAAGTATTTAAATGACAATATTTTGTTCTGTGGAATAATATGGTTCAATTAAACGTTTTCTTAATAATATTTTAAAATTATTTACACCAGATTATAACTTTGTGCTATCTCAGTGGTTATAAAATTAGTTTGAGAGCCGGAATCGAGCCTTGCTCTTACAATGAATGTTTTATTTAAATGGCTTTTAATTTTTATCACTGCCGTTGACAACAAAACTTGTTTTTGTTCTGCACAAGTCACATATGACTTGTTCATCACTATGCTCTTCGGGTATGTGGAGTAATGTACTACGTGCTTCTCCACATTTCCTGTAGCCTGAACATTTACATAATTGGTTTTCTGAATGATGAGCCAAACATACATTACAAATTTTCAATTGAGTAAGCTTTTGATGATGTTCTTTTAGTGTTAAGTCTAAAAAATGTTTGCAATGATATATAGCATGAGTTGTTTCATTGCATAAATACAGTGGCGCCGATGTGCAAAAAAAAAAATATTATGACAAAAAAATTTAAGGCCATTCAACCACCCACCCATCCCCTGTATGACATGAGCAAAAAAAAAATGGGTCCTTTGATTCAATATATTTCAATATATCTTTATATAAAATTAAAAAATAATCATAAACAATTTATCAACAAATAACTATGTTATCAATTTAAAAAACTATATATACATTTTAAAATGTATATTTTTGAGTGTAATGTTTCTGGTAAAATGATACTATTTTTTATTTCTTTAAAACATAATGTTAAGTGCAAATATTCGGACCGTAAGAGATTTAAATCTAATATCTTATACGTTTCACAAAATTTTTGAAATGTATCAAGTGGTAAAAGAGATGGATTTTCCATAAAGTTTGATTTCAAAATACTTAGAGTTTATAAATAGTTAAATTACTGTGAATTTAGCAGATTCGTAGCGAAGAGATTTTTATGATAGTGA